TTCTTATTTCGGGGTCGTTGAGAACCGATGGCAATTTGAAATAATTCTAAAATCGTGTGGAGCAGGTGCTATCGTATTTTAAATTCCCTGGGGTTCAGAACGTATTTCTTACCGGTGCCCATCGTCGGGTTGGACCACGGATGGGGCTGAGTCTGAGAGGCCGTGAGGCACAGGGAGCCCACTGTCCCACAGTGTTGTGTTAGGTGGCTGGTGCCCAGACGCTCACACTCTCTCCACCTCACTCTCCCTGGTCAGCCATGGTTTCCCAGAGATTTCTGTTCCTCCAGCATGGAGGTCGGACTCCAGTCTCCACTGTGCCTCCCCTGCCGTGGCTTGCTCTGTCCTGTTCGTTGTGCTGGTTCCATGCTCCCTGTGTGTTGTAAAGGCACACTCCGGCGGTGGGTGGGCCATTTGACCCTCTGGGCGTTGCCCAGCCACCCCCGTCCTGGGGTCCTGGGCTATGGGACGAGGAGGCAGCTTGGGCTCAGTCTGCGACGTTGGCTTCTGACAGGCCGACCTTGGCCCCCGCCCAGCTGACTGGCTTCTTTGGGGCGCTCGAGTCCGTGCTGAGGTACCGGGCCACCGTCGTGCAGGCCTTCAAGGACATGAACCGCTTCACAGTGAACGAGACAGTGCTGTCCACCAAGGATGTCCTCGTCCTCCTGCATAAGTGGAGCCTCATCGAGAGAGATGCCAAGCTCCAGGACGACCTGAGAGCAGCCATTGAGCAATACCAAGTCAAGGAGCTGCTGAGTGAGTGTCGGGACCCGACTGTCTGGCGTTCCCCAGACTGTGCCCAGCTCCCCACGGAGCACCCAGCGGTTTGCTTCTCTAAGCAGCATTTCCGAAGCTGTCGGGGCTTAGGAACAGGGCACACCCGTCCTCGTAGCCCTGCAGAGGTTGCTGGGGAGGCCTGGCTTTGAGCTCTGGCTCTGCCACGGCCGGTGCTCACCATGAGGGGGAGGGGCGGTGGTGAGGATGAAGCGGGTTCATCGTGACAGCAGCGGGGACCGTCACAGGCCCACGTGGAGCACTTGCCGCGCTCCAGGCGTAGGAA